TTGTATGTGGTGCTGAGGATCGAACCCGGGCCGCACACATGCCAGGCGAGCGCGCTACCGCTTGAGCCACATCCCCAGCCCCATCTTTCAGTTTTTTACTAAACTAAATTCCCTTAATTCCTTGAGTCAGAGCTCAAACTTTTTCTCCTGGCTCCTCGTTTTATTGAAAATTTCATCCCACAAAGAGGAAAGGAAAACAGTAGAAATGCCATCTTATATGAGAAACTGGAGGTTATTTTATGGCTTATCTTACTAAATATTCTTTGTTCTCTTACTGAAGTTCTTGCTGTGTGAAATATCTGCTCTTTATTATCTCAAAGACAGAGAGAACCAAGTGTTCTGATTTACCGAGAACTTTTATCTTCTAATGAATTGCTTTGTCTCCTGTAACACTATTTCTCAGAATCTCAGAGCACTTGATAGGTATGATCTAGTGGCAGTGAGAGTCTTCCTATTTTTAGCTCTGCTGGCTAAAAATGAAGCTGAGAAAGTCAAGGTCATAGTTTAGACTCTTAGGGGTTATTCAACGTTTATTTCTTGGCCTTGGATTATACTGTTAATCCCAAGTAGGTAGGTTCCAGGTAAATTTGAATCCTGTTCACAAGAAATAATGAACTTGGGTCATTTGAACATCATGGATTTTTTTAAAAATGCAAAATGAATGTGTTCTCTATTAATGGTAGGTCCGAAATGTCATCATCACATAGAAAGATTAGACACTTAGAAAAGATGATGAACCATGTTTGTTGCCTCAGTTTGTTAAAAGCAGTCTGACAGTAGAACAAAGGCTTCTTGATTTCATTTAATCTTAACTGTACATTATAGCATATTATAAAATGGGTTTGTATTCAGTCCTAGATATATTTTGATCATTGTAGGAGAAATTTATAGATTCTGATACTGTAGAGTCTAAAAAAAAATAATGTAAACTTTTTTTTTTTTTAACGGGAGAGAAGTGGACATCTTTTTTTTTTTTTTTGAGAATTTTAATATTTATTTTTCAGTTTTCGGCGGACACAACGTCTTTTTTGTATGTAATGCTGAGGATTGAACCCAGGCCGCACGCATGCCAGGCGAGCGCGCTATCACTTGAGCCACATCCCCAGCCCTAGTGTAAACTTTTTTTCCAACATCAAACTCATTCACCCCAGCCCCCTTAAGCTTTGTGTTGTCTAGTTAGATAAAACTGTTATGTATTATTTGTTATTTGTCTCTATAAAAGAATTTAATTCTAATAATAATCTTTTTCTACCAATAGAATCTCTCTGAAAAATCAAGAAAAGTATTCCGAATATTCCGACAGTGGGAATCTTTATGCTCATCCTGAAGCTACTCTACCCTGTTCCTGGAGAAAACTGAAATGAGAGTGACTTTTTGAAAAATAAAACCTGAATTTTCTTTGGGTCAGCTGATACTGTTTTTCTCCATTCTGGTTTAATCATAAAGAGCCCCTGCCATTGCAGAGGTAGTGAGCGTCAACAATCTGCATGTTTAACAGGAGACCCATTTCCCTGTGGGGATGTGGACAGGATGAGCAAACCCAGTTCTATTAAAGGACTGTGAGGCTACAAAACTAGATGGAAGACCCAGGAACATGCATTTCAGCAGCTTTAGTGTGGGCAGTGTTTCAAGGACTGTATATCCCAGGATTTGACAGTGTGTGTTATTAAAGTATTTGCCAAGATGCTTCGATGCTCGAGATTGTTTTCTCCCTTGCCTGGTAGGCTGGAAAAAGCTTAGGTTATATTATCAAGAGTTAAACTGTGGTCTGGGCATGGTGGCCCACACCTTTACACAAGGAAACTGAGGCAGGAAGATTGCAAGTTCAAGGCCAGCCTGGGCAACTTAGCAAGATTCTCCACAGCTTAGAACCTGTGTCAAAATAAAAAGGCCAAGGGACATAGCTCTGCATTAGAGCATCACTGGGTTCAGTCCCAAGTACTGCCTTCCCTCCCTCCCAAAAATAGAGTCAAACTGGGTTTTCAGAGTGGATACAAAACCTGAAATTTATTTGTAATTCCAGTCAAAGAGGTATAGTCTTTTTTTAAACTGGAAGCAAGGTGGTTTCATTCTGTTACCAGGACTCCTGGTGTGATGCAGTGTAAGGTAAGCTTATTTTCTCCTCACTTTGATGTTAACAGAGTAAGAGAATGGAAGGAGGCTAGGAAAAAATACCCAGAAGAGGCCCCTCATGTGCTGTCTAGTGCCTGGTTCCCCGACTGGGCACCCCAAGCCTTTTTCCCTGCTTGTGAGGCTCATCAGTCTCTGTAGTAGGGAAGAGTGGCCTGAACCTGACCCATCTAAATACAGCTGCCTGCTGATAAAGTGACCATAAGCTATTAGAGGCTGGAAAGAATTCTCTGATATGTTATACTTTAGTAACGTTGATTTATTTTATGGCTCACCTTTTTTGGGGGGGTGGGGGGAGGGCTTGCTAGGGATTAAACTCAGGGGTGCTCAACCCCTAAGCCACATCCTCAGCCCTTTTTTATTTTGAGGCAGGGACTTGTTGAGTTGTTTAGGGCTTTGCTACGTTTCTTGAGGCTGGCCTTTAACCTGTGATTCTTCTGCCTCAGTCACCTGAGTCAGGTGTCAGGTTTATAGGCGTGTGCCACCATGCTTGGCCTTTTTTTTTTTTTTCATAGTTACTGGGGATTGAACCTAGGAACACTCTCCCTCTGATCCATGTCCCCAACCCTTTTAATTTTTTGAGACAGAATCTCACCAAGTTGCCCTGGCTGGCCTCAGACTCAAAATCCTCCTACCTGAGCTTCTTAAGTGGTTGGGGTTACAGGCATGTGTCACCACATCTGGTTTATATCTTTATTTTTATAAACTAAAGTGATTTAAAGAAAATAACATTGATATTTTATCCATACTATACTTTGGCTTATCTCTCTAAAAAAATACACCTTTCCCCTTACAAATTACACCAAACAAAAATTAATAATCCCTGGGAGCTGGTTGCAGTGGTACATTCCTGTAATCCCAGC